ACATATCTTCGCAAGAATGAAGATACAAATCGTTGCTGGCTTCTTCAACAATGTCCATGGCAACAATACAAAAACAACATATCTTCGCAAGAATGAAGATAAAAATCATTGCTGGCTTCTTCACCAAATCAATGTCCACGGCAACTCTCAATTTTTCAAAAACAAACTGTGCCTTCAGCCTCAGCACAGTTTGCGGGAGGATGTTAGAAATATCACACAAATCACAACAGAAATGATGAGGATGAGATTAGAAAATCTTGGAGTGATAAGATTGTCAAATTCAAATCAAATGATAGAAGTTGTTAAATTATTATTTGATATTTGTTATCTATAATTTGGATAGACATTAGTCACAAAATAGTGGAAAGTTGTTATTCTTATTTTATTATAAATAGAAACAAATGTGTACTAGGTGTTTATGGCCTTTTGGTCATCATTCAATAATGTTATAATCTGCCTTTTATTTTTTTTCCGCTTCATTTCCGTATTTTCTTCTATTAATAATAAGAAAAATGGAGGAAGATGAAAAGAATAAAAGGGACAAAGGATCCGATTTCTCATTCGTTCAATTTCCTTTCAAATTTCAAAGCCACCATAGAATAGTACGTTCACTTCTTAAATATTGTACTATCCAATCCAACTTATAAAACTGCCATCAAAATCACTTCTAAACACTGACCTCTTGAGTTTACAGCATCCAGAATCCATATCTTTTCAAAAATAGAGGAATCAAAACGTTTATTTATTTTCTTGTTATAGCTTGAGATAATCGATATACATAATCGCAGTGAATGATCCAATCTATTACAGGCCATCTTCGGCATACTTACAAAAGCAATTTAGTAATACTACATTCAAAAAATACATACCAAAAAATATTAAAATTTTCCGTCTTAACACATTCATATCTGTACATACATAAATACCCTGAGAAATCAGAATTCAGATATACACAGAACAAGATGTAAAAAAATATTAAATCCCAAATCATACCAATTTCGCTAAATTCAATTAAAAAAAAAAAAAAAACAATTCACCTCTCATTGATTTTGCTCCTCCGGCGCTGCTCTGTCACCGAATGCTTCGACCTAGTTGCATTAGCCTTCTCGCTGTTCTTCCCATCTGCTTACACAACAATTTATCGAAAACAAACAGCAAATTACGAGAAACCCAATTCATATAACATTCATTCTACCATTTTAAAAAAAAATCCAAAAGAATCGAGACTCAAACCTTACACACAGACACATATGTGCGGCTAGTACGCATATCAAA